ATACAAAAATGAATATTAGGAACTATATTTATCAAACATTATACTGGGCAAGTAAAAATAGTTTCTGGGCAAATGAAATGTGAAAGTCAGTTGCCCAAAATTGGCGCTGTAGAAATAAACTGAATTGAATTGTATATAAAGTATGACAGCTTCTGGAAGGGAGGATCTATGATAGTGTTCCTTAGTGCACCTTCGATGGATCCGTCTGTCACTGAAGGAGCTCTACAGCTTCATAACAGCTTTATGCATGGGATGTAGCTGTGAGGTTATTTTTTATAGCTAAATGTTAAAAGTCTGATGTTCCTTCAGGCAGCAATATCATATCAACGAGTGCTCAAGATTTTAGTTCCCTCTACTTTAACAGTAATCTGTTTATACACAGATTACTGTTCAACTCAAAAGCTATTTATCCAGATATAAAGTATTAAGCATTATTTCTTTATGTTTTTTCCTAACTGCATAACTCAAATGGGCGCATCAACATATTTGGGAAAGATTTTGGGCACAAAGCAAACCTTCAGTTTCCACCTCCATTTTTGGAGCACTGGTAAAAATTTTGAAAAGGATTGTTTCCTTTATCCTCCATGCTGAATAAAATGGGACGAGGAAGGTTTCTTTTTAGGGAAATAGAAAAGAACCTAAATAATGTTACTACCCAGCAAGGATTGAGATCTCATGGATGCAGGCTTCCTCCTTCTGCTAATCAATTCAATTCTACTCAGTTTATTTCTATAGCTCCAATTCACATCATGTCACCTTAAGACACTTTACAGTTAACCACATCATCCAGTTAAATTGATTCAAAGTTGAAACCGGATCTTTGTCAAAAACCCGTCAGTTTTAGTGCTTTCAAATGAAAATGTATGTCTACATGTTAAGATCTATGCGTCATGCTCAGGAGAATAGGATCCGGTATTCGAGGAGGACAAACAGTTAGGTTTCTAGAAACATTTATTAGAAATAGAACCAAAGAGAGTAGCGAGGGCGTCTGACGGCTGGTTTATACTCAGAAACCAGGTTGCCTCACAGGGCACAGTGAGGCAACCTATCTGCACAGTGAATGCAGATATGCCCCGCCCCTTCCATAGACACTCTGCTGCACCTCGCCATAATCGTAGGTGATCGCAGACGCGTGAGAGTAACTGGTTGTTTGTCTCTGTGTTGCCCTGCGATGTCCAGGGCAGACAGCTGGAGACAGACACCAGCACCCCTCATGACCCCAGCAGGGATAAGCGTGACAGAAAATGGATGGATGGATTTATGATCCTCCACGGACGGATTTTTCATTGAATTGCCAGGATTTACCATCGAACTTCTGGCCAGAGAAAAAACACGTAATATGTAGCCAACATTTGGAAGAAGAATGTTTTCAAGATGACTTGGATAATAGCGCGTTGTGACAAACACCAGATACAGCACTGGGACTTGATCAACAGCCGATACCGCACCGTGACGTCACTAACCAGTAGGTGGCAGTAGTGTTCTTTGACAAACATGGATGCCTCCAGTAAAGCACATTCACATGAAAATTAACACTTATTATTTATCGAACAGTATGTAATAATTCAACATATTCTCATTATCAGTTCGTATGAAATCGTACGAAAAGTTATGCACAGTATTTCGCACGTTTTGGACGTTTTTCCTCGAGAAAACAGATCAGTGCGCATGCGCTGCCAGACAGACGGAAAAAGAAGATCAGCGGACGGACGTAAAACTGGGAAAAAAAGTGCAATAATTACTTCTTCATGTCTCTAACTAGGTTGCTTGCTGTTTTGTAACTTAGGGTCAGGGTTAATTGTATGTTAAATTCTATGTTATTGAATGGTGCGTAAGATGCACATGCGCAAGGATATCTTGTCTCGAGGCAAGACATAAAAATACGACGAAAAAAACGTTAAAAATGTACGAAATTACTGTGCATAACTTTTCGTACGATTTCATACGAACTGATAATAAGAATACACTGAATAATTTCATATTTAAAATACTTTCAAAATGCTAAATGTCCTGTACTTATATAGCTCCTTTTTAAGTCAGACTTCAAAGCCCCTTCAGAAGTTTGAACGCTGAATATAATCGGACCTTCTCCTTTAACAACCAAAAACACCTCCTACTAGATGACAATCATTTTTTTTTTTTTTCCAGTGACCCTTCAGCTCCACCACAGAGAGAGGGGACTAAGTGTTTATAGATCCGCCCCTGTCACAGCCTCTCCTGCTTCCGGGAACTATTGCATAACAGCAGGACTTTCTCCAGAGCAGAGAGGTGCTGTCATTTATTTAGGCAAACTTCCTGGACGGATAGTAGAACAGAGCATCTCTGAACCTTTACCAACACCCTCCCTCCCTCCCTCCGTCCCCCGCCTCGCTCCTCCTCCCTTCTGACTTCACTGTACACACGCGCGCGCACACACAACCCCTCACACACGCGTGCGCGCCCCTCTCTCTCTCTGTCCATCGCACGAGCGCACACGCACTCTCAAAGACGCGCGCGCGCGGCTGCCTGGACGCTGCAGCGTTTTTAAGAGAGTGTTTCTAACCTTGGCTTGGAGGGAGGGAGGAGGCAGGAGGAAGGAGATAATGTCCAAATCCTCACCGTCTGCTTTATTTTTTATACATTCATATATCTAAGAATCGCACCTGAACAGCAGCTGATAGAGCAGCGGTCGGATGGAGCGGAGGTGGGAGAGCTAAGCCCGCTCAGTCAGCGTGTGTTTGCAGACATGGGTCGCAGCGGTACGGCACCTCCTGCTCAGCTCCTCCCGGACCGTTTCCACCGTCAGTCCTTCAGCGCTGGAAATGGCGATGTGATGCTGAGCGCGGAAGACGCAGCGGAGGCGGACGCCAAGGAGGAATAGAGAAATATATGATCACCTGCGCTTTTCTTTGGGTTGGATTTTTAGTAGCGGCGGATAGTACCATGGTGAATTACCAGAAATACATAACTGTAATGCAGCTGGCACTGGGGGTGACCGCTGTCAACAAAGAACATTGTCTTCCACCCAGGAAGCGAATGTGGTGAGTATGATGAACCTTGGTGCGGATGATGAGGATGCAGGAGTTTGCAGTGTGTTGGTTTCCTTCCTTATATCATGTTAAAAATAACAAAAGCTAAGCTAAAAAATAAAAAAATATAATAGGGGCAAAATGCATTGTGTGAAATGACATAATATCCAGTGAGCCTCTGCAGCCAGACTGCTGCACCGTGTTGCAGCCATCACACCTTTCCACCGTGTGCGTGGGGCGCGCTCCTTCAGTTGTAAAGTTGGATGCTATGGCCTCATTCATTGTTTCTTTAGCTCCTAACTTCCTGTGCCTTTCTGTCCACTGTCCGGCCTCCACAGTGGAAGAGTCATCAGCCTCCTCCACCTCCTGCTGCTTTACCCCATCCACTCCACCGCTCTACAGCTACTGATGAATAAAAACTGAAGCATGTACCATCATCCTCTCCTGAGCCTCTCATTTCTGTAATAAACATCACTCTGTCTCTAGTGTGTGTTTGTGTCCTGTCTGTCCACCCACCCACTGTCCTCATCACTCCACAGTTTCCACCTTTCACTTACCGCCTCTTTCCTCCTGTGGCCTTGTCCGTTTGTTTACCTCATGGCAGCTTTCCCTTCTTACTCGTCTTCTTCGCTGTAAAGCGGATTGCTGCGACGTGTGTGACACTGGATCCCTAATTACGGCTGGATTACTATCTTGTTTGAAAGCAAAGATGGTTAATTAGGACTCAACAGCGCCCTGATAGTGAATTACACAAAGATCTGTCAGACATGGTGAGAAGCTTTGCCCTTATCGTTGCATCTCTGACCTAAAACCACAGCTCTAAAACTGGCTTCAGCAGCCATGAAGGTCTGATCCTGGACAGCTAAAAGCACGAAGGGTCAAACGCATCCAACATTCAGAGTAAGTGAACCCTCAGAACGATGCCATCATCTATTACCTTTATTTATACAAATAGTTCTGGATTTTTTTTTTTAGATAAATCCAGAACAGTTTAGTTCAAGATTGGCCAAAGCTTAATTATCTCTAAAACAACACCCCTGGTTAGGCAGAAAGCATTTTTATGAACCCTTTAACCATCGCCATCTTTCCATTAAGTGGTTTTTCACTGAAAAGCCAATAAATATTTATAAATGGAACGAAGGCAGGAGGGGACGCTTCTGCAACCATCGGATCAGAGTGACAGAGTAACGGTTTGATTGAAGACAGCGAGATAAAATCTACTAAATGGCTTCTTTCGCTTCACCTTCTTTGCCTGTTTTTATTTAAAAGAGTAAGTGATGGCTAATGTTTCCTATTTTCTGGACGGGGGGGAGATTTATCATCAGGCAATACTAGGCAGTTGCTTAGGGCCCCAAGTTCTTGGGGGGCCCATAGGTTCCATGTATGGTTAATACAACTATTCCTTATTTGTGCACATTAATTATGTTTTTGATAAAAATCCTTTCACTAAAATGCCATCAGATTGCTTAGAATATTAAGTG